CATCTTCAAAATAGATTTTTTTCAAATTCTTTTTTATTTTTTTTATATTTGAAAGTCATTGATAAAATATTTTTTTGTTTTTAATTAAAAAATAAGTTTTATCGATAATCTTTTTGAAATATAAATAATTTTTGGTATATTTATTTCATTTTATAGATGTAAGTATTTTTTTGGTTCAGAAAATGTTTAGAAACTTAATCGTTCAAAGTATGAAAGTTCATTGGTTTTTTTTTTCCCAGTTTTGTTACATTAATTTACCATATTAACAGGTTTTATAGGTTATACAGATGTATCTAACAGGTTTTAGAAAGTCTAATGAGTTATTTAATAAGTTTTGGAATATCCAAGAACTTATTTGTCCCAAAAAATTGTCCAAGAACTTAATTATTTCAAACACTAAAGTTCATTGGTTTTTTTAAACTTTTTCCAATAATAAACCTTTGATAAATGTTTTAGTAAAATATTTAATTTAATTATTTCTTTAAGAAATTATTAATTAATTAAGATATGTAAGGTTGACAAACTAGTTTTCATTTATATTATACTAGAGGGGTACTCGCGCAATGCAGCGAGGTACATCTTGATTTTAATATTTCATTTTATTATTTATCTCAGTCGATGTTATAGTGTGGTCTTATGTGATTTTGTAAAAAACCATGATATTTTTATTTTTGAATTAAAATATAAATTTAAAGATATCATAAAAATTTGACAAAAATATATAGATGTTAGTATCAAATTAACGATTTAAAATTTCTAATTTTTTGTGTAATTCTTTAATTCAATTTTTTTATTATGATTTAATTTAGGTTCAATAACTAAGTAATTTATATTTGGTTTAATAATATAATTTTCCTAATAATTAATTATTTTGTTAGAACTCGATAATTATCCTAATTATATTTTAAATTTTTTATATTTTAAAATGAAATGTTTATCCTATATTTGATTATATTTATCTGCAGTTAATTATACAAATTTAAACATGGAGCTTTAATAAGTTGTACTTATACATAATTTACATGTAATCTTGAATTTTAAGAAATATGCATCAATATGCACTACTACATTTATAAAAAATGGTTCTTAAAAGTTTTTATCAAAAACTTTATAAGATAGTATAGATATGAATTTTATGAATTTTATTTTAATAAGAAAGTCGAATGTGAAGAAAACCAATGAGAGAAGAACGTGGAAAGGAAGAAACGTGATCAATCCAAAAAAAGGAATAATTTTAATTAATTAAAATAAAATGAAAATTATTAAAAATACCCAATTACATTACTGCCCTTATTGACTTATTCATATTTAATATAAGTTAATATATATATATATATATATATACACACACACACGAGGGGCTTTCTTTTGAGAACTCGTAAAATTAGGATAACCTTGAGAATTTGTGTATCATGTATTATTTCATGTGATTTTTTCCCATCTAAAACTATGATTTAGAATATTGTTAAACATGTATTTGTTTCACAATATTAACATTTTTCACGTGCTTGTGAAACAAAAAATATACTCAAAAAATTTCACATTATGAAACAAATACATATAAAACAAAGACGCTTAACGCATCATGTATCGAGTTGCATGCCAGAGTCCATGTGACATTAATTAGCCTTGTATGTGGTCACATATTTCCTTGTCTTCATCATTTGCTACAATACTTAAAATCCTGCAAAAAGCTTCTCATGAGATTCGGTATAATACTGTAATTGTTGTCGGTAACATCTTTGAAGAAAACAAGAGTTGATCAATATCTTTGGATATATTCATATACACTCATAAATCAACTGTGATTCTTAATTTATATATCCACAGCTAGAAAACAATGTATCAACGACGAAAATCAGCGTCAGAAAAAATCCTTCACCGATCAGCGAGAAAAAGACCAAAAACCATTTCTCTCGCTGATCCGTCGCTGAATTACGTCGTTGATCCGTCGCTGATAGAATTACCTACGAGCTTTTGAGCGACGGACTATCAGCGACGAATCAACGACGGAAGACCCCTCGAGCAATGGATTATCGAGGAAAATTTCCCATAATTATATTAAACCCTATTTTCAACAACATTATCATACCATCTATTACTTTGGTATGTGTGATTAATTGTGTCACCAACAAATATATAACTTTAAGATTATTTACGACAAGTGTTATCTACAATCAAAATCAACGAGTGATACTTGACCTAACGACGACCCACAAGTGGGACCAACAAGTTTAACATAAGTCAAGCGTTTTGATGCGATTCCAATTTGTTATATATTTTCTTTAATCAATAAACGGTCCATATTTATCTTCACAATTATGCTATTAGATTAAAAACACCCAAATGATTACAATCCTAATTTCAAAACGTCTAAAGCTTAACACAACGAAGTTTGGGATGCAAATCCTGAAGAACGAATAACTTTTGCGCATAATTCAGAAAACCTCAACCCCACAACAATTACCGTCAATAGTGAATCGGTGGAACTGAAACTCAAAATTACAGGTCTCTACCAAACGAGTCCCTGTATGTTGGGTATGGAGGTCCTTGTGCTAGTGAATCTAGGTTTTAATTCGACGATGATTATAAGTCGTTTGACGATTAACCATGATAGGATTAAGACACAACCTCCACTTATGATGGTCATTTTCCAACTAAAAGTAAACCACCTTTTTTTCACAACCACAAAGGTATAAGAAAAAATACGACCCTATAAGCGTGTAATCATTAAACACTACATACTTTCATAAAATTGCAACATCATAACTTTTGTCACATTACACACTCGCACTATAATTTTATAAATCACTTTATTTCATAAACCGCGTCTGCAACCATAATTTTATAATTTTATTTTATAATTTTATTTCACTTTATTTTATAATTTTATTTCACTTTATATAAAATATGTTATTCTATTGATTATTATTCACTTTGAACTAACTGATTATTTAAGAATATAAGATTAAGCTTTAATTATTTATATAAAAGGTTTTTTTAATATATTATAATAATAAAAATATATAATATTTTAATAATATAATTAATGCTGAAATCTATAAGATAGAAATAAAATTATGTGGATCATACATGATGCTTTTTTGGCATTCATGTGGGCTTGTATGAAGAGAGTGAACAATGATGTGTTTGTTTAGCTACCCATTTGGTTCAAGTGTCTTCCAATTCTACTCTACATTAGGAACTTTATGTGAAAATTAAGCACTTTTTTAGCAATATTTATCGACAAGGACCACAATATGAATTCGAATCAACGGTTTACAATCAACTACAAGGATTTAGCGTAACCATTCTCAAAAAATGAGCTGGTCGTTACTGGCCCATTAAGGTTAATGGACAAACAAAGTAGAGACGAGGGTTGTGTAGATTTGATCATACATAATTGGATATTTAATTGTAATTGGATCGAATCAGATCTAAAATTTTAACATGCAAATTGGATCGTCGGTTATTAAATGGTAGTCAAGAACACCGCTAGGCTAAACGAATAAAAATTCATACAGGCTTGTCCAGCCTGTTTAAATTTTTATTAACAACTAAACCTTTCAATTAAAATTTCAAAAGGCCTCTTGAATCCCAATTATCCATATACTTTTCTCATGGCAAATCTCAAAATTCCTTTAAAAGGTAAAAGATTTTTAAGCCGGTTAATTTGTAGACAAACCTGACCCGTTTATATAATAGATGAGAAAAAATTATTAAACTCGTTTAAAAAGTCAAATTTACTATATTAGGGGTTGTTTACCATATTTTTTATTAAATCGTGTATGGATAAATTTGTCTGTTTGGATAAATGAGTGTTGTTGTTTACTTTTTTTATTTGAACCAACAGCCTGAACCAACAGTCTGAATAACATAAATGACCGATTTACTCCCAATATTAATTATTTGAACATCAAAACAAAAAAATCATAAGGAGGTTGAGGACAGGGCGTCTCATTCAGGAAGGATGCGATGCTTTAAATAAGGGGTAAGGGTGTCATTTTTGTGGTTGAATGGTTACAACACACCATTTCTATCTGTGCGATTAAGTCATATTCTGTGCGAATAAGCCATAAGTAAACAACTCAAATAAGTTGTGCGAATAAGCTAGATAGACCAATAAGCCTAATTAAGCCGCAAGTAAATAGCCCCTTAAACTTGTTGGATAAAAAGAGGTTGGGTCGAGCCCTTGACAAGTCCAAACCCACAAATGATAGTGATCAAAATGAGCGAGCCTTCCGATGTTAAAATTGTATTGATGTAATCCTTTAAGCACTTGGAACCGATTCTCGTCATCTCAAGGGACCTAAAGGACGGGCTTTGCAATCGACACATAACGACCCTCTTGTCTTGATTCATGGAAGTACGATGGCGTTGTGCAAGAAAGGTTTTTTTGATATGTAATCACCGAGTCAACCCACATCGTTCCACTTGAAAGAAAGCATGTTACAAGAATCCAATAATCGGCTATGAGTGAGAGCTCAATCCCCAAAAGAATTACGACTTCGATATTGTGACTGTTGTGCTCAAACTCTCGTCGATTTATGCAAATATACCATACAAAAACCGATTTTACAACATCCTCAGAGCAATCGATCGACGGTTCATGACAACATAAAATTAATCATGGACCGACCCGAAAGCCCACATGTACGGAAAAATAAATATGGTAGCAATAATAATTAATAAATCCTCTTAAATTGAGCATTTAAAAATACAGATTTATAAGCGAATTAAATGTAGAAAATAATAGCTTCGATGGTGACCCCATCTCTATCCACACTTGTACAGTTGTATGTATATACAAATATATTTCCTTCTTAAATGACCCTCTTATTACGTGACGTCATCATCCCCCAAAACAAATCAAGATGCTACTTCATTGTTAATCTACCGGAAGAGAATCTCATGTATTCACTCGTTTTCCCAACTCGGTCCAAGAACCGAGCTGACTCACTCCCGCTATCCCTTCTTTCCAGTTTCCGTAGATGGACCATCCCGATCCTGTTATTCAATTCATCCACCATTTCCCAAACGAAATCCATTGATGATTTTCTATTACAAAATACTCGTAATGATGTCTCTTTGCAACTCGCTAATCTGTCCAAAGCGGATGCCAACTCGACCGAGTCGTTGAAACTCAGCAAATTGACCCTTTCTTTGAACTCACTGAGTCGGAGTAGGATCTCGTTCACCGTCGACAGGTAATCGTTCGCCAGCAACTCCATAACGACGGCCAGCATCCTATCGCGTTCCACAAGTAGATTATCGGGGACTTTGCAGAGTTCTTCGACCACACCCACCAACGAACCAAAATCTCTGATCAAATCGGAGTTCAAAATCGACGAGATCGAATCTTGTTGGTTTTCCCTCTCTAAAACAGAATAAGATGAACATATAAAGAAACCCAGAAATTTGGAGGTGGAAAGGATCGTTTCGAGGTATCTAGCGTACCACCGGACCCAAGCTGAGAGCACCCAAGTGGTGGCCGACGAGCTGTCGCGAAAATCGGAAAGTTTGAGATTGTTACGGCCGCCGGTGGAGGGGTGGACGGAGAGTTGGTCTTTGAGGATAAATGAGCCGCGGTTGATGATGTGGTGGATGGTGAGAAGGCACTTGAGGGCGACATAGGAGTCGTTGGTACGGTGGAGGCGGTTCATTAAGGAATGAATAACGATGGAAGCGGTGGCGCGTGAACCATCACCGAGAGAGAGCAGGGTTGCGAGGTGGTGGTCATGGGGCGGAGTGGACGGGGAATGGGAGGTGGTACGGAGGACGGCGAGGTGGAGGGATAAAGTGTGCGGTTTAGAAAGAAGAGCAAGTTTTGAAAGCGAGACCTTGTCTTTAACGATGCCAATGAGATCTCTCATCGTCGTTATTCCACCCATCGATCCGCCATGGATGGATGATTCAAAGGGAGAGAGAGAGAGAGAGAGAGAGAGATGTCCGTTTTGGTTATGATGAAATGAATGGCTATCCCAAGAAAGTTTCAATAAAAAGACGACATATTTGATTATTATCGTTGAATTTATATATATTTTTTTATTTTAATTTATTGTCAAGTTTTTTGTACGAGAACTCAAATGATTTATTATTTTTATAATAATTTTTTCTAATAATGATTCTTCTAAAACCTTCACTTTTTATTTATAAAAAACTCGCGTTAAAGATGCAAACGACTTATGGTGCTTTAGAGGTACAAGGGATTAAGTGAAATCTTTGCAGGATACGGATTCTCAAATGATTCCTGGGAGACGTGTAACATTTGGCTAAGCCTCCTTTGGATTTTCAAAAATGCAACATTGATGCAACTACCTGCGACTACAATTCGTCTATAGGGCTAGCTTATGTGTTTCGGGATGCTAATGGGACTTTTATGGCTGTTTGGACCACTACTCTAGTTGGGATTCTGCTAGTTAAGGAATGTGAGACTCTCATGTTAATGGAAGCGGGTAAATGACCTTGGGCTCCAGAAAATGATTTTCGAGTCGGATGCCAAACAAATTATTCTCTTTTAAAGAAGATGTAACAAAATTTGGGGATATCATTTCAAGGTGTCATAGGTTACTCCATCAATACGACACTTTGTCTGTTTTACTAGGTGACAAGCTAACATAGTTGCTCATATTCTCGTAAGGGTATCTAGTTTAACTTCTTGTCCCATGTCTTATTTGACTTGTAGATTTTTTTGATATATGTCCTTTGGAAGCTCATTAATAATGAAGGGTAACTTTTTTATTACAAACAAAGAGAAACTACAATCCATAAATTTAAAAATACTAGAATGCGGGCATAAACAAACTAAAATACAAACACCTCCAATCACACACTAAAACATGAAACTCCAGAACTCTTTCACACAAAAATGTCGATCATAAACAGTGAACCGCCAAATATGGTGTTTTTTACCGATCAGTTGAAGCAGTAAAAACCAAACTAGTTTTTACTAGCGGTAAGGGTTGGTTTACCAAACGTTTACAATGTAAGGATATACAGGCAATAGTCATCATACTCACTTACCTTATCAAGTAACATTCTTGACTAACAAAATAAATTGTTAGTAATCATCTCTCACCTAGTAATACTTTTGATCCTTGTGGGTTTTTTCTTATGAGAGTTTTCTCTCTCAGTTACCGGGTAAGATTCTTGATCTTTGTGATGCCTTTTATTATATAAAATTATCGATTTTTGTCATATTAAGAAAATATGTTGTTATATTCGAGTCTCTAAACATGTAATATTGAAGTTGAATTACATAATATTTGACTTTGTTTTTGCAAGACAGAGATATCAGTCAAACAACGTTATATTTAAATACAGAAATAATTAAAGTTGGTGATTAGTGGTTGTTTTTATTTTTGTTTTTTTATATAATAATTAATAATATGCATGGTAGGCTGCAAAAAGTCTTGAAGAAAAGTCAACCGCATTGTTTTTGTTTTTTCACTTTGGATTATGCTTTCACCTTAAAATAAAAAACGATCTGAATCTGTAAAAAATCAAGGTTTTAAATGACATGAGACGTAATGTGACGGTAGTATCAAGTTTTAGGAGCAATGGCGAGTGATTAGCTTGCTACAAAAACCGTACACTATTAGGCCATGACGTGTCATAAACTTAACATGGCGTCAAACAGAAACCTTGAGCTACTGTGAGCCTCGACAGCTGTTACAATGAGTTGTTTAGAACATTGATAAAAATCATTACAATATGCAAATTATTTAATTTTATTATCACTCTCTCTTCTTAAATTAAAACAAAAGGAAAGATCGTCGACTAATTCGAATGTAATGCTAGATAAGTCTCTTAATGTTGGTCTATTGAAGGAAACTGCTATGGCCACTCAATTTGTAGATAGATTTAACGTGTATTCTAAAGGAGTTTTAGAGGTTGTTTCCTACTGCTTTCTTGAGAACCAACACCCCCATGAGATTTCTAAATACAATGTTTATAGGATTTCAATGAAATCGTGAGATTTTAAATCCAATCAATCATTCAAACCAATTATTAAATGGAATTGAATTTCGAACCCTTCCAAATCCTCTCTCTACAAACCAAACATGACCTAAGCGTTTTTTTAACTTTAGGCGTCCGACCACTTTACTCACATCTCGACTAATTGTATGGGACTGTGAAGTTTATAGGCAGGTAAACCCTCTGATACCTCTGGTGGGTTTAAACCGTATACAAACACAATATCTTATCACTTGTGCTTCCATTAAGGGTTTAAAAAAGAGTCGGTAGCTACTATTTTTTCTTGTACGAGTGTTGTCAAGCACGGTTTTTCTTACCAGATCTTGTCGTGTTATCAATGTGGGAATCACTTTGATAGAGGCTTAGGGGCCGTTTACCAAACGCTTACTCGGGTAAGCGCTTACCAAGTTATATTACCTTACCGGATGAATATGACAATGACCAAGAATCTTACCCGCTAAGAGCAAGGTAAAGACCGAAAGTCTTATCCGGTAAGTGAGGACAATGACTCTTACCACGATTAGCTCTTACAGGCTAAATTGTTACATAGAAAGCCGTTTTTGTTGACTAAAAAATCTTACCTAGTAAGTAAAAGATAGTGTCGAATTTTACCACTAAATGCTTACCGGATAAATGTTCGGTAAACGGCCCCGTATTTTAATATTTTACTACACCATATTTTCTTATGCTTTCATGTTTTTAATTGATTAAACGGGTGATATTGAATATTGTGTTGCATATTATTTTATTATTTGTTATTAATTAAACTTACATGTCACATCTAAAAAAATAAGGGGAGTGTTATTGGCACCCCTTTGATAGGGGTGCCAAATACATTGGAAATTGAACCTCATTAAAAAAAGATAAAAAAATCAATAAAATAAAATAATATAATATATTTTATTATTATTACTTTTTATATTAATATATATCCTATAATTTATATATATATATATATATATATAATTCCTTATATTATATATTTTATAAAAAAAATATTTTATCATTATTAATATTATATATTTATCATTACTATTTTTATTTT